ATAGCTCAAATCCACTGGTAATACTCTACACTAGAGGCACAAACTGAGTTTAATAGTGATATAATTGAGTGGAGTGCTGGGTCAAGCAGATACAGAATAGGTAAACTGTAAAACAATGTGTAGAAACGTTCATAGTAAAGCTACCTCATAGTAAATTTAAGGGGAACGTTGTGATCAGGGAGCTTCAACACAGTCATTTAACAAATAAACTCGGTTGATGCACAGACTGAAGAGTCGTCGCTCACCACAGCAGCAGATGGTTGTATATTCTCCACTGTGTGAGCACCCAACGGTACCAGGGCTTTATTTTGGTGCATGAGCATCTCCTCATCCTCTGGTGGCTTCCAGATGTACTGCTCTCCGTTGCCCATAAACATCACTTCCTGACAACAGAACCACAAATTACATTTGGGGCAAAGCTAGTCACATGTTCATGTCTTCTATGAGTATTTGTGAGTATTAAAAAAAAAAAAAAAATGCATTTTAAAACAGACCTGATGGGGTTCATAAAAGACAAATTAACCACTTTAAACATGCATAAGTGAGCGTTAGAAATCTATTGGATGGATTTCATACAGTATTGAATAGATTTTCCCTGAAATGTGGCCCTTGTAGCGAGAGAAACCACGTGCTTCTATTCTGGATGACTCAATTTCAACATGTTGCGTCATCCACAAGAAATTCAGTGGCGAACAGCCCTGCAAGCAGACAGTGTATACACATGTAAGCCTGTGAACTGTGCGTGTTGCTGAACTCGGGTCACAGCAGATAGCACAACCTCGCTGACCTCACGCAGGGCAGCAAATGGTCCCCCACTGTCACCTGGAGGGGAACACAAAGCCTTGTGTCCACAGCACGAGCAGGCATCCTGCCGACACTCCTGCTGCTGCGGACGTACGGGGGAGGGGACACCCCTGCGAGCAGAAAAAAAACACCCCACTATCCCCAAGAAATATTCGACAAATACACACAGCTCACTGCCTAGATTTCAAAGTAAGGACCACAGAAGTGCAAACGTATCACAAGACCGTGCATGATGACGCCGAGTGCAGCGAAAACTGCAGCGTTGGCACGGTAACAAACGTGTGGATCCTCTGCAGCAGCGTGAGGGAGCTGGGAAGCTTCCCCCTCACTAAGGTGACAAAAGACACATTGTCTGTGTAAAGTCTGACAAAATAGACAAATACAGGAAGGACGTTTGTTGTGTTGTACTTTTATTTTGGGGTACTCCTTATTCATCACTCGGAATTTCGTGGTGTGCACACCTGAGGAAGCAGCCACAGGACTCCAGCTGATGTCAATTACCTTGTTAGAGAGGAGAGTGGGTAGATCTTCTTTGTTGAATTTGCTTTTGTATGGGAGTTCTTCAGTTTATGCTGCATATTATTTAATCTGGATCAGGTGATACTCGTTTGTATTTTGTAAGGTTAAGTTGTAAATATATTACTTTAATTTATTGTTCACTGTGTAACGGTGCAACGTCTTAATCTGCTTTGTATGATCGCCTCTGCTGCTCCAGTCAGACCCCTGGTAGAACCACTAGCAACCCTGCTGAGCTGTGATCTCCATCTCCCCCTCAGGTCATCACCTCTTCACTTTAGCCTCATCCCAATAAAACTGAATCCTGTTCACCTCCGCAACATCATGAGATGATGCTGTCCAGGGCTGATCACAAAGATGCGTAGTTGTTTATCTCCGCGGGAGGATCATGGATCCTAGCAGTGCACACACTGTTATACCTCAACTCAAGTCGCTGCTACGCGGCCAGCCAGCTTGGTGAGTTTAATTTAGTTAATGGCGAGATTGCATGAAGTGTGTTAAAAGATGACTTCAAGACAATCGCCTGCATATGTTGCTGCCTGTACAGCAGTGGTTGTTGCAGAGCATCTTTTCTAGTTATCTTTGTTTTGAGTGGCATCAAATACAAGTTCACCTCTTTATATGAATATCCGTCTTTCTTTTTACGTGTTATTTATGTGAGAATTCATGTTTTTCTGCCTTGATTCTAATCTTAATCTTAATCTAATCTAATCTTTCATTAAAAAGATAATCTGTGTGTATAAATGTCACAATGTTAAAACCAAGTTCACCCCAAACAACAACTTCTTTGTAATCTTAATATAAGGTTCACTTACTAGCTTTTCCACTTTCAACTGCATCTCATGGTCTTCATCAGCGTATGGAGTTTGCCCAGTTGTCATGGAGATGAGATGCAGCTGAAAGCGCTGGAGAAAAGCTTTTCGTAAGTGCACCTTGATTTTACTGTCACACTATTGCACAATATGAAATGTATGAACTTTAAAGCTCAAGAACTGTTTTGTAAACAATTTTTTTTAAATCATCAAATAAAAATAAAAAGTTACTCTACCAACCTTTGGGAATGCCGGGACATTGAAGGCGTCCACTTTTCTACGCGGCAACTTTGTGCTGTGCGGGTGTGGCGGAGGAGGGGCGGGATGTGACGGCGGGGCGTGTCGTGGAGGCGGCACCGGCGGCTCCCCCATATCTGTCCCGCTGTCCCTCTTTTGGGGAGCCTTTTCGGCCTTCCTCAGCTTCCTGACGCACGCGTACTCGGCCGTCTCCGGAGGGTGAGGGTGAGGGTGAGGGGGAGACATGACCTCGGACTCGGTTTCGGGCATCCCTCCTTCCACGTCACCGTCTGGGTCCGGGGGCGCCGGGGTGTTGGCGGGGACGGCCGGAGGGGCCGGGGTGTCCGTCTGCCCGGCCCTGCCTACCATGGCGTACAGGGCATCATCAGTACGTGTGGTGGAGGAGCCTCGACCCACTTCAGAGTAAGTGTGCTCTCCGTCCTCTCCAGAGGGAATCTGGGGAAGCTGCCTGCCTTGAGAACGAAGGTCAGAGTTAGACCTGCGGGGCAGACAGCCCATGCGGGACCTTTTTCTTTTTTTGATGCCTCTGAAAGGCAGATTCAGGCGGATGCCCACCATAAAGCAGAACTCACATACTTTTACTCTCGTTGTACTGGACAAACATTTGTGAACATGAATAAATCTCTCTCTTGGTAGCAATAGAAAATCTGGAGCTGACAGTAAACTGGGAATAGCTGTTTGAGAAAACGTGTCCAAATTGACTTCATTCCACTGCAGTGGAAGCAGGACAAGTATGAAGCAGGACATATGCTTATGTTTCTTCAAACCCTCTCGGGCTACTGTCACAGTGCCCACAAACACAGCTCCCTGTTGACTGTCAGCGATGGAGCTCCAGGACTTGTCTTGGCTCTCTGATTTCTGTCTTTGAGAGAGAGATATGCACGTTTATAAATCAAGATTGAGCAGTCCAGTGGAAACAAGTTGTTATTGTAATGTGAATTCTGTTTTAGGGTAAATTACAGAAGGGTTTTGCATGAATTTAGGGCCGAATCAGATACGGAGAACACCGAGGAACGTGTGCGGTTACATGATGCGAATGTTAAATGTTTACCCTAAATGTTTATTTGCATTATTAGGGGTTTGTAATGGACGCCAAGTCTGGCAATCATGAATGAAGATGAAACGAATCAGAATATGCTTCAGTTACATATATTTGTAGTGTTCATCTGCCGCTATATTTACTTATTGATTTTCAGTTGTCACCATTTTCTGAAAACCTTTTATCTCAACTGTTTGTGATTTTCATGCCATCAAACAAACTGAAAATCAAATGCTTGCAGTGGTGGAATACAAGTACATTTCATTAAGCACCATTTTGAGGTACTTGAGTATTTCCATTTTATGCTATTTTATACTTATACTTTACTACATTTAAGAAGGAAATATTGTACTTTGTACTCCAATTTATTTGATTACTGGTTACATTTACATTCAACAAACCATGCATATATAATATGATGCAATACTATTCTAATCTATCCAGCTGTATACAAAGAATCTCAAATTGGCTGCACATTAAACTTCAACATTAAAATGCTCTTACATGTATTTGTTAGTGATAAAGTCAGGTGTTTTACTTGAAGTATTTTTAGACCATGGTGTAGTACTTTTACTTAGTACTAAGTAAAGGATTTGAGTACTTTTGCCACCACTGCAACTTTCAACTTCAATTCTTCTAATATCTCCTTTGATGATGGAAAAGGTGCTTTGTCATGCAGCTAAAACAAGAACAGACTGTTCCATCTTCCATTAAGGAGATGCAAGGTTTTCACCAGACGACAGCCAGGTTCCGTTCAGAGCACAGGTCAGGATTTATATGCGAGAGATGCACTCACTTTTGCCATTGCAGTTCATCTTGTTCATCTCAGTGTCTGATTTACTGATGGACCGCAGCTTCGACTGCCTGAGTATACCCTGATGACGCACACAACACACACACACACACACACACACACACAGAGGTCCAGTTAAAAACTAATTAAGACTGAAGAGGTGTTCTCTGAATGATGTTGTTCCCTGGTCAATTGAGTTGCTTCAGCTACCTCTGCTGCAACACAAACAAAACATGGAGGAGCTGATACCTACCATGTCCATGAGACGGTGCTTTCCACCCTCACCGGGAACATTGTGTGTCTTCCCCTTCCTGTGGTAAACACAACCGCTCTGTCACACAGGTTGACACTTACTACAGTGATGCACTTGTGTGTGTGTGTGTGTGTGTGTGTGTGCGTGCAGAGTTTGAGTCACTGTCCATTTGTGTCTGAGTCATCTTGTGTGTGTGTGTTTGAGAGAAAGACATTACGGGAATATTTGCATATCTGCGTGCCAGTTGTGGTTTATTTACTCAAGTACTGTACTGAAGTACATTTTTGTAGTAAAAAGTATTTATACTTTACTTGAACATTTCCATTTTAAGCTATTTTATACTTCTACTCCACTACATTTCAGAGGGAAATATTGTACTTTTTTACTCTTATTTGACAGCTGTAGTTACTTTGCAAATTCAGATTTTAGATACAAAATATATTTCAACTAATGGATGTATTATTATAGGTTAAACTCCCCAATAGTACATGTTAAGTAGTTATCAGCCCCTTTGCCAGCTGCAGCAATAAAGTGATGTACACATGAATGCATCAATTAAATGTAAGATTGTGACTGCAGGACTTGTAACAGAGTATTTTAAGACTGTGGTATTGATACTTTTGCTGAAGTAAAATAGCTGAATACTTCTTCCACCACTGGTCATAGGGGACATTTTACTGCAGTACCTTTACTTTGAGTACATTTAGCTGATAATACTTCTTTACATTTGCTTTAGTAAGATTTCTAATGCATGCTTGTAATGGAGTATTTTTACATTGTTGTATTGGTATGTTTTGCTTCAGCAAAGTATCTGAGGAATTCTTCCACCACTGGTGCTGCATGTGTGAATGAGCACATGTGTGTGTGTGTGTGTGTGCATGCGTGCACGGTGCCTCACCTCTGGCAGCCCACGCAGAGCACTACGATGAGGATCGTGACAACAAAGGCTGAGGCAGCAGCGATAGCACCCAGCAGCAGGACCTTGCCGTAGGGAGGAGCCGTGAAGTTCAGCCCGTCCTGCATGGAGGCCATGTGGGAGCGCTGACGCTCGCTTGCTCTCTCACACACACACACACTTACAACTCATCCACGCAGGGAAGAGCCACGGTCTCACTGGGATCTGCAGCGACAAGGCACAGAGCAGTGCTTAATTACAAAAATGATCTAACCCTTACCAAAACGTTAAGTAGGTTAACAAAGCAGCGGAACCAGAAGTTAACATATTCACAGTGAAGGGAAGGAGCAGTTTGGGAAGAGGAAAAGTTAGAATTCCTGTCCAGCACAGAAGCAGTGAAGTGAACAGACATTACGCCTCCGGCATGCGTTTCCGCTTTACCTTGTTTGATGGATTACTGAGATATTGTGTCACACTTATTTCGACTTCAACCGGATACCTGCTCACCAACAACAATTTGCAGAAATGCGGGTCTGTATAGCATAAAAGTGAATTAGTACTTGAAGTAATCCAACTATTCTACATGTAACACTTTGAATAAAGCAGAAAATATATCTGAGGGCTGAGGGCTGATCTGTTTGTCAAGCAGCTGCAGCGATGCACATTGTGTAAATGCACCTGAAACGCTGAAGGAGACGAGTATGAAAGCAGAGCGAGCAGACGGAAACATCTTTCTTGCTTCTCCTTGCTGCTTGCCAGACAATTTCACATTTGGCAGTATTATGTTTCAAATAAACAATAAAAAATGTGGCGCCACAGCAAAAAGACCAATCAACAAGCCTGTTCTAATCTCTGTCAAATCATGCCATCTGTCTACTGTGACAGTGTGTTTATTCGTCACTTGTCCATCAGCAACAACAAGACTGAGCGGCAGACTCCAGGAAACATACTGCCTGGTTTTGTCCAAAGTCTTGTTGTTGTTGGGATGATGATACTTAACTGTCTGTCTACGTCTGTCAAAATGCCTCTTGTGTATTTATTCAGCTTATGACGACAAGTCCGATGCTTTACACAATGTGTTTCAGTCATGGCTCCTTTCCTTCCAGACAGAATTTAATCTTCACTGTCCAAATCACTATTTGTCTACAGTCTGGTTTGCCAAAGCATTGGACACCTCAACACTGCTGCTGTTTTTTTTTTGCAGTACAGATCTGTAAAGTTGTAAACAAAAACGTATTTGTGTGTATGTAGCCTTAGTGAGGCCTAATAAGGATTCAAGCAACCCAAGCATGAATTGCTGGTATGCTCTTCTCCGTTCTTGCCTCCTCTTTGCTAAAATCATATTCATGACCTTGTCATTTGGTTAAACTTAATTTGGGGTTCATTGTGTTTTATCCAAGATAAATATTACTCACTAAAACTGCACAAAAATGATATAAATCAACCAGATTGTTGCACATGTTTATGTTTCGTCCATGTATTCCTTGAGTGCAAACAGGTCTGTATATTTAGGCCACACACAGGCAAGTGAGCAAAAACAACTTTTGTTAGAATCCATTTTCTGTCACCCGAACGGGCACATTTATAAATGTTTATAAAAATGTATTTGTAAACTTCGATCCTTCAACGTGTGCAGCAAGATGTTGGAGATGTTCTATCTGTCTGTTGTGGCCAGTGCACTTTACTTCTCCGTAGTCTGCTGGGGGAGCAGCATTGGAGCCGGAGACACCAACAGGCTAAACAAACTGGTTAAGAAGGCCGGCTCCATCATTGGCTGCAAACAAGACTATCTGGAACAGGTGGTGGAGAGGAGGACACTGAAGAAACTATTAACCATATTGGATAACCCGGACCACCCTCTCCACCACCTACTGCAGGGACAGCGGAGCACTTTCTCTAACAGACTGATCCAGCTCCGCTGTCACAAGGACAGATACAGGAGAACATTCCTGCCCTCTGCTATAAGACTTTATAACAAATCACCTCTGGCCAAATCATCCTTCACATGACTACAACACCGCTACACTGTTGTTTGCTGTTGATAATCCTTGCACTACTGTTTAGTTATCCTAGTTAGTTCATTTAATACCATTCTATTTCATTATATATACTGTGGGTTTTTTGCATTTTCTTATTATTTAATTTTCTTAAATTTAATATGTTCTGCTCTGTTATTTTTTTGTATTGTATATATTGAGCATTCATACTTAATATTTTTATGTTTACTCTGTAACTTCGTTTGCTGTTGCTACAAACAAATTTCCCCCTGGGGATGAATAAAGTATCTATCTATCTAAAAATGTATTCTGGAAGTCTGATTATTTAAAAAAAGATGCAAGTTCAGAAGTGTTACAGTACAGTATGTTTTGTGCACCATCTTTCACAAGAGTAAAATCCTTCCGTCTGTCTCGCCAATATATTTTGCACATCTCGCCAAGACTGGCTGCATGTGCTCTATGCACAACAGCTTTGACTGCTCAATCTGGCACACATCTGACCTAATGTCGCACTATTTCTCTGTGTTTTTTAATTTTCTAAAACAGCCATTTTCTAAAATTCTCTATCTCCTTAGAATGTGACATGTATCCTTCTCTCACTAACAATCTCCAGCCATGATCTGCTGTACTTGGACACAGCAGTGCTTTGTTTCGAAGCCGAAAATGACCGCGTTGGAAATTCTTTTTTATGTTATCTCGAGATCACAAGTTAATTATTTAGTTATCTCAAGACAAGGAGCTTTGTTTTTCTTGAGATAACGAGATAACAAAAGGTTGTTTCCTTTTATTACTTGTCATTTTTATCAGAGATCAGGAGTGTAATGCCAGCCCGGCTGCAAATAAATAGTATGTTGTAGTATGTAGTACATATGTTGAGGCATGAATCCTTCCCAACAGTAAGGGTCTTAAAGACTGAAAACAGGTTTAAACAAATGAACAGATTTTCGAGTTCTCCATACTACAAAGTAATTTTCTCGTGATAACTTATCTTGTGATCTGGAGATAACGGCAAAATAATTGCAAGCACGGCCGTTCTTCTGCTTCTGTTGCTTTGAGCTAAATGCTAACCTCAGTTTTAAGTCGGTCTTAACCCGGCAGCAACCTCCGGGTCTGAAAAGTGAAGCCGGAGGTTGACTTAAAGCTGCATTCTTTCTAATGGCCATCAAGAGGCGACTCCTCCGGTTGCAAAAATAAGTCTGACCTATAGAAGTCTATGGGAAAATGACTCTAATTCTCACTTGATTTATTACCTCAGTAAACATTGTAAATATGAGTTTATGGTCTCAATCTGTAGTTTCAAGTCTTGTTCAATACAGCATGATGTTCGTTTAGTAAATTATGGTCCATAAATAAAAATAGACCATAAACCAGGGTATTCTTGTGATTGACAGGTTGCTACCACGGCGTTTGGTGCTACTGGGAGTTTTCCGTGTTTTCGTGTTACAACTTTAACGCTTTCACAGTGTGCTTTCACATCATGAAAGTTAATTGGAACCAATTTGGTCGTTTAAAATGTCTTCGGTTGTAAGTTGCTGACTAATCAGTCAGATTGTTGCACACTTTTGTTCTATGCACATATTCCTTGAGTCCAGCAAGGTCTGCTAATTTAGGCCACACCCATTCCAACCTGGTTGAAGGGCATGTCGACTTCTGTCAAGACTTACAGACTTTACAGTTGTTTAGCCGCTTTTTGTTGTGTGTCGTTTTTTGTTGTGCCTCTCTGTTGTTTTGTGTCTCTTTGTATTTGGTTTGTTCTAGGTATTTTTTTTCTGTGGTTGTTTTGCCCCTTTTTGTAGTCATTTGGCATTTCTTTGTAGTATTTTTATGTCTCTTTGTAGTCATTTGTGGTTATTTTTAACCTCTTTAAGCGAATCCCAAGTCTCTTCAAATGCATCCATGTTTCCCTCACTTCCGTAACATATAACGTAACAATATCAACATGTTTGACTATTAGGTCCTTGTACAGTATGTTATGGCTCAACTTCCATTTCTTAAGACAAAATCGGTTTTGCAGGAACAAAAAACACTTAGAAAAAAATAAGAAAGTCACACTCCATGCATCCCTGGTGCGAGAGATGCAAGGAAGACTTGGGATGCACCTTTTGAGTGACATTTTTTAGGCCAGGGGGGCCCTGACACTTTGAGCCCCTGGGCCTGTGCCCGGTTGGCCCCCCTCGGTGGTTAGGGATAAGGGTTGGTTCAGGTTTAGAGGGAAACAAACTGTATTTTGCCGAATTCATGGCAATTAGTGGGCACTATCAAGAAACAAAAAAAGATAGAAAAATACTTTTTTTCTCAAAGGAGAACACAAGACAAGTGACTTACTAAGCATACATGTATGCTTTAACGGACAAAAACAAAAGGGATGTAAGTTCAGTTCAAGAGAGAAGTGAATGATTGGTAGTTAACATTTATTAGGAAAGACGATGAGTTACACGGAAATTCTTTGGCGCTTCAACTCGACGAGGAGATTGAGAGAATTGATATAGAGGCAAACAACTATTTGCAATGTAAAGATATAGTGCAGTAATGTCTACCTGAGCAGAGAATGGAGTCGCTCTCCCTCTGTGTGTGTTATAATCCGAGCTTCTCCATGCTTTGTTGACATAGCCGGGCCTTTTAGTGCATTTGAACGTGTCCCACTGGTGAGCTAACGGCCGCTGCTCTGTACTGCTCTCATATAACGCTAACAGCTGATACCTCTATTCCGACCAACGGCGTCATCGCGGAACCGTACCACCCACCCCAGGATTCCCCTTCAGGTAAACATTGTTGGCTCTATCAGCACTGTTCCTGTAATTTGAACTGTTAGCGCCGTTAGCTGTGAGCCGCTGGCTCAACCGTCGCCCTGTTGAGAGCCGTTGAGAGGCAATAAATATGCTCCCAATCTCATATATTGCACCTTTTAAAACAGCTCACTAGAGGGTCTGTTAGCTATAATATCAGTGGTCAGCGCAGGAAATTCCCTGCTAGGATGCGCAATGATCTGCGCTGTCTCTATTTCAGTGATGAAATTTAGTCCATGTGGACCGTGTTTATTTTGTTTTGTTAATATTCCTTCTGTGAAAGTATTCTATGACTGTAGATATCAGCTGAGACAGGACAGAACATTATATGGTTCTGCACGGACTTTGGAGTAATTTGCATTTCTTTGAGGAGCTCCAGCCACGAACCCAACTGCTCACAGCATGAAATCCAATTTGCACCACATTTCAAACACAGACGTCTTTGTGGTTATTTGTGCGCTGCTTGTAGTTTGCTTTGTAAGTTCAGGGCACCCTGAACAGAAACAAATGCTTTGTTTCTTGATTCAAATTAACCTCATGTTACTTGGCTATTAATATGATCCAAGTCATATTTTATAATGCTGGATATCCTATATATAAACATAATTAGGCCTACTTCTTTGAGCATGTCTTAAGAAAGTGATTACAGCAGCGAACATGCTTTCCCAGCATGTCTGTGGAACTATTTTAACAGCAGCCAGCAAACGTGTCAAAGATTTCACAGACCTATTTAAATGCCACCAATTCATCCACCAGTGCTTCACCTTCAACTGAACACTTCCTGAGTGAGTAGTCTGAAATATGATGTTGGATTTAAAGAATGATGTGCACCTCGGAGACAATGATCATTTAATTTGCAGTTGCAACAATGTCAGTGTAATTACATCTGTGCTGATTTGACAACAGAGCCGAGGAGTAGAGATGGAAAGGGTAATGAGAGAGAAGAAAGGGGAAAAGGTGGAGGGAAAGAAAAGAGAGAGAGAGGAGGGGAGGAGGAATGCGTGGGAGTCATGTGGCAGGTGTTTGAAGACGCTGAAAGCAGATGATGAGAGGAGGCTGTCACATTTCCTAACAAGGTTCCCCGGCCTTCCTTCCTCTTCCCTATCTCATTGAGTGTGTCCGCACCTCCCCACCCATTCTTCTCCCCCTCTATCCCCCTGCCTCCGCCTGCGGTGATCAGCCGGAGTGACGCCTCAGCACTGCAGTGTAATCTCTGGCCCTAGAGCTGCCTCACATGAGCCAACCAATTGGACATAGCGCTCAGAGCAGGAGCAAGAAACGGCCCTCCCTTGGCTGATTTTTCTGCTAAACAAAGTCCCCTCACCGTCAGCCACATACAGACCCCCCTCCAGACTGTGGCACTCAGTGTGCTCATTACAAACTACCAGCGAATACCTGCAGGGGCGGATTTGCTAGGTGTTGCACTGACGGTGTTTCACAGACCAGAAAGGAGAGAGGTGCCGTATGTGGCGAGGAAACTGGAGCGTCATTGGCCATTAATATCTGGTTTCCTGAATCACATGCATTTTATAGTCAATTAAAACAAAGTAAGTTAAATACATAAAAGTGTATTCTTTAGCTTTGGGAACAGTATATGCAACACAACAATGTGATTGAAAGCTCTCAAGGCCAGTAGGTTAAGTGGACCTTTGAGATTGTGTTGCAGATTTCTATTTATTCTTTGTATTCTCTTTTCTCAAGTGACACACAGGAGACAAGCTATTACTATTATTATTTTTGTATCATTTGTTCTACAAAACACAAGAGACCAGTGAAAAATGACCATTGCAGTCTCACTGTCATCAAATTAGCTATTTTGTTTGAGCAAAAATCGCACACTCACAAATGAGAAGATGGAACTGAGGAATGTCATTTTTTTAGAGCGAAAATTTCTAATCGAACATCAATAGGTGGGGATCGTTTCTTTGTTGATCGACTAAACACTTAAAGGTGCAGTGTGTAGGATTTGGTGGCTAGCAGTAAACTTGCAGATTATCCGTTCTGGGTTACTGTAGAAACATGGCGGTGCAACATGGTAGACTCCTGTACAGAAGGCATTGTGTTGGGTACAGGTGAATACATGAATGGATGAAAGTTTGGGTCACAACAAGTACAATGTGAATGACTGTAGAGCTGCAATGATGAGTCAACAGAATTATTTTGATGACTGATTAATTCTTTCAGTCATTTTTTTAATTAAATTGCTGCATGACTGCAGCTAACTTTCACCATTGATTAATCTGTTGCTTATTTTCATAGTTTTTTAATTGATGAATCGTTTGTTTATAAAAAAACCCGAGTTTCCAGAGCTCAATGAGACGTCCTCTAATTGCTTGTTTTTTTTCCCAATCAACAGTCCAAACCCCAAATATATTCAGTTTATATTGATACAGAGGAAAGTAGAGAATAGAGAAAAGCAGAAATCCTTACATTGAAGATGGAAAGCCATAGAATGGATGAATTTAACTATTAATCAATTATCAAAATAACTGTTAATTAATTTTCTGCATTTCTGTGTCTTACATTAATCGACTCTCTCTAGATTTTGAACTGTTTTGAAGACATCACCTTTGTCTCTGCAAACGTGATGAGATGTTTCACTGTTCTCTGGTGCCTTATAGAATATTAAACACTATTAATAGATGAATCAAGATAATAATCGTTAGTTGTAGTCTGAATGAATGAACATATCACCTGTTGACTTGGATAATCTCAACAATTAAATGTTTTTAAGGAAACAGGCCGGGCGACACATTTAATGAATCACATCATACGTTTTAGGCAAATTTAACCAAAATAATTACACATACTTTTGTCCTTTTTTAAACAAAATACTCCAACTCCCTCAAACAATAAAAGTAATGTTCATGGTTTTGGCTCACAGTGCGAAAGTCAACCGGGAATTCTGTTGTAATCCATCATGAAATGCATTTTTTTAGGAACACATTTAGCCCTACAGTGTTACAATAAATTACTACAATAAATACCAAAAGGCTTTTACATTTTCAAGGAACATGCACTGCATTAACACGTGTGTTCATTATTAATAATACTAGAGCTTCTGTTAAGCTCAGCCAGCCAGCAGTGGCCTCTCTGTCGAATCTGCTCAGGTTTTGATAAACCACCTGGGAGTGGAGCAAACCCTCACCCTCTGTGTGACACAAATAACAGCAGTGTGTGTGTGTGTGTGTGTGTGTGTGTGTGTGTGTGTGTGTGTGTGAGGGAGGGAGAGAGAGAGAGAGGGGGGGCTGCTATTGTGTGAGAATGTGAATTAGGTCAAATGTTTGCTTGCAACAACGATTAGCATGCCCCTGTGAGGAAGAAAGCTGAGGCTCTGTCTTTATCTGTGCAACGCTGCCTCTGATACAAACACCATCTGACGCTATTCACTGCAAATTACAGAATAATTTATTGTGATCACATGATTCACATCCGTTCCAGCAGCTTTGAAACAGATGCTGAAAGTAAGAAAAAAATCACCCTCATCATGTCTTTTACACTGTGTGCATATATTTTGTAAAATCCTCCATGTAGGTGTGTGTGTGTGTGGGGGGGGGGGGGGGGGGGGGGGGGGGGTGTAGATTGTGCGTATGTGGCTCATGATGGCACCCACTCAGCAGGCATCAATCACACTGGGTGACGGTTCGGCTGCCCGGCTCGCCGCGCCTCTGGGCTCTGACACCTCAAACTGCAGTGATGCCAGTGACAACAGGTTAGAGAACCACGACTCAAAACGATTCCGGCTCTCGGACAGAAAAAAAAAAACATGCAGGATGTGAAATGTGGGGGGTAAAAATGCCCGTTCAGGTGGAGGCTTTGGGCGGTCACAGAAAAAGAAGAATTTCAGGCTGATGCAGTGTGCTTTTTTTTATCATTGTTTCATTAAGCCTGCCAGATGTTTTTTCTCCTTCTCTCCTCCTTTTGTTCTCCTCTAATCATCAAAGTGTTTCCGATTCATTTCCAGATCAAAGTGAGGATGGTAAAGGGTGTTGTGTCCCCGAGGTCAGCTGGCAACTTACACGACAAAGCCAGCCCCCCCCCCCCCTATTTATGAGTAAAGGGAGGGAGGGTGAGGAGGGGAGGGCGGGAGAGGGGGTGCAAATGTTAACGGAAGGTCTAACGTTAATTATCTTTATGCTTCACAGTCAGCAGGGATATCACACTGGGGGGAGGGGGGGAATGATCAGAGGCTTCCTGCGCCTTCCTCTCATCAAATCACAATCAAGTTCTCTGATGAATCCGTTCATTTTGGGGCTTACAATCACAAAAACGACAATGCAGTAGGGCTGAGGTGGGTGCACACGTGTCTGTGTTAAATGCATGACCAGAGGAGATGAAGGCACAGGCAGGGCGGACACAAAGAAAGAAAAAGGAAAACAGGCTAAAGCGGTGGGTTACATTTGCTGGATGAATAAAGGATGCTGTACCAACTGCGTGTGCAGCTTGTCGAGCTGAATCTATAGGCACATATGAATGCAC